ATCGTGGCGCAGTACCGGGAGCACGTACGAGCTGTCAACTGTACCGGGTCTAGACACTTAATCCCGAAGCGAGCTAGCAATCACACACAATCACGTGCAGCAACTCTCAAACAACACAACACAACACAGCACATCAAGCAAGGACAAGGACACACTCACAACAGCTTAGTGGTGCTCATCGTGGTGCTTGTGGGGGTTGAGGTACTCTGTGGTAAAACAGTTGTCGTCGTGCAAGGAAGCAAATGAAGAAGAACGGGTGGGTGGTGTGAGAAGACGAGGCAATGACGTGTTGGATGAAGGGAGAGGGGTGCAGAGAGAGGAGGGTGTCAGACGTGCACATGATCCATCTCAACAGAAAAGAACAGCACATGGATGTACGTACACACGCAAATCTTAGCACAAGCACGCACACACGAAGGCAAAAACACGCAGACATAATCATAACACACACGCACAGACACACAGACACACACGCACGCACACACAGACACACAGACACGAGCACACAACGCCCCCCCAACACACACACAGACACACGCACACGATGATGTCACAACGTACTGGAGTTCTCCTTCATCTCGTCTGTGATGTCGATGGAGAGGAAGATGTAGCCCGTGACAGCAAAGCCGACGAGAAACTCGCGGATGGGGCGCAGCGCCTTGACAGCCTGACCGAACATCTTCTCTTTTTGTGCTGAGCGTGGGGGACACGAGAGGGGAAGACTGTACTTGCACAGCGAGACACACAAAGGTTGTGGCGGTGTGAGAGACCGTGAGTGGACGATGGAAAGGATGAAGTACAACCGGCAGCCCAAATGCAAGCAGTGCAAGTGTAGACAGACACAGGCTTGAAAGCAGTGCAAGTGTAGACAGACACAGGCTTGAAAGCAGTGCAAGTGTCGACACACACACACACACACACACACACACACACACACACACACACACACACACACACACACACACACACACACACACACACACACACACACACACACACACACACACACACACAGCACACACACACTGCTGCTCATATCCACCTGTTGCGTGCGATGAGGAAAAATACAGCATATCATACACCATTTCTCGTTTGACCACAGATTCGTGTGTTGCGTGAGTGCTGGTGGAGATGGAGAGGAGGCTGCTGTGCTTTCGCTGTGTTGCCTTGCCAGCTTGGTTGCTTTGGTCACACTGCGTTTATGTGCGGTGATGCTTTGCATTCTAGCGCTCGCACGTTGAACTGACGGTCCTCACTTGTTGTTCATCATTGCTGTGCATCATCGCTGTGCATACACAGGCCATCTCGCTCTTTGTTTCAACAGCAACAACAACACAACAACAATGGTGCGGTTCATGTGTGTGTGTGTGTGTGTGTGTGTGTGTGTGTGTGTGTGTGTGTGTGTGTGTGTGTGTGTGTGTGTGTGTGTGTGTGTGTGTGTGTGTGTGTGTGTGTGGTGATGGTCTGTTTCGAAGGGCTCCTACCAGATACAGTCAGTGGTCATGCACGTACACTTACGTTTGCATGCTCACGCTCTCATCACGCTCTCATCACGCTCTCATCACTCATCCCTCTCTTATCACTGCTTCACACACACACACACGCACACATATACATACCTCACACACAGGGTGCCCACGGTTTCGGTAGCCTCGTGCGCAACGCACACGGTCTCGTGACCTTCCAGCTCACTCCATTCCGTCAGAAGGCCGTCAGCGGCTTCCTCACTCGCGTATGTTGTCAACGTCAACCAAACAGACCCGTTGCATTGTTGACCGCATGCTTGCGTTTCCCTCAAGGCAACCTAACGTAACCCTCACACACACACACACACACACACACACACACACACACACACACACACACACACACACACACACACACACACACACACACACACACACACACACACACACACACACACACACACACACGCACGCAAATACTGCAGGGTGTTGCGAACGGTGCAAAGGAGGCAGCAGATGCCCTGCCTACCATGCTCCCTGGTCTCCTGGCCGGTGCTCTCATCTTCAAGGTTTGTTGTGGTTATTGTGGAGAAACGAACCGTGCTGAGCGTCTGCACAACCATGGCAGAGATACGCCAATACACCACACACTATCGTGCAACCCCCGCGTGTGCAAAGCTACACCACACACACACACACACACACACGCACGCACACACACACACTCACACACACCACACACCACACACCACACGCCACACACACACTCCATCAAAACCATCAACAGTGGGGCAAGGACCAGTTTGCCGCCAACCAGCGCAAGAACCCTGAGGACTTTGCCAACGACAGCTAAAGCCGATGCACGCTCGTTTTGCGTGTCTGTTGTGTTCTTGCTTACGTTCGTACCTGTCCACTCAACTGTCTCGCTTGTTCTCGTGTGAGTGTGTGTGTGTGTGTGATAATTGTGTGGTTAACGTCGCATTGTAATGTGATGTTTTCTCTCTGTGGTTGTGTCTGTTGTGTGCGTCTGGGAGCACGTGCTCTCGCTCGTTTGTGTATGTCTCGTGCTGAAAACCACATGGTGTGCTTGTTGCCACTGTGCTCACGCCCATAAACATCTTCGACTGGGGAGACACTATGCCAAAACAGCCTCGCAACAACTGAACGTGACGGAACCGCAAGTGACTTGGCCACAACACACACAATCCCACAATCCCACACACACACACACACACACAATCACACACACACACACACATACACACACACACACACACACACACACACGTGTGATCACTTGCGTTTGGTCTTGCGGTGCTTCTCTGTGATAACGCGCCACGAGTGTGCGGGCTTGAAATCTGGTCGGGCTGCAAGCTGCATCGTCTCGCCGTCATCATCATCATCATCGCCACCGTCATAATTGTTGCCATCGTGGTGATGTACCTTGAGGAGTGGGCCGCCATACGCAGGGCCGGGCGACGTGAACACGCCGCTGGCAGGAGGGGCGGTAGCCGTGGCGGTGGTTATGGTGGCGGCCGTTGGCGCCATCATACTTGTTGCTGGGGCCGTGCCGGTGAGGTGGGGTGCATGCATGGCACGCTGCTGCTCCAGCAACGCCTGCGCATGCGCAGCCACACTTCCACTCTCAAACCCACCACTAACACCAACACCAGCGACACCTGGAATGGGTCCCGTTGCTGCTGCCATCATCCCTGTTGTGCTGGTGCCGCCAGCGAGGAAGCGGATGACGCCGAGTGGCAGCCGGTGCACGAGCGTTGACGGCGGCGGCCAGATGCGCGGCATGCACGCCTGGATGGTGTGCCTGCAGGCATCGTACGCCTCCTGCAGGCTGTCCACGGCGTCGTCGTGGCCCATGCGCAGGCCAGCAAGCAGCGTCTCACGCACCACATCCTGGTCCTTGTCCACCTGCACCACGAGCTTTCGCAGCGCGTGCACCAGTGCCTCCTCCTCAAACATCCCGCCCTCCTTGAGCGAATACTTCTTCGCCTGGTGCTTGCGCCGCCCCTTGGACGACCGCGCCGACGACGCCGCTGTCCGCCGTGACCGCTGCGACGTGCGGGTTGCGCGTGTGCGACCCGAGCGCCGGGAGCGCGCGGTGCTCGCCTCGCTGTACAGGTCGCTCGCAGCGCCGTCCGCCGCGTCGCCAAACTCGCCGTCGTCCCCAGGGAGGAGCCCAAGAGCTTCAAGGCGGCGGTCCTCCAGCTTGCCTGCACGCACCACGCACAGCCGCTCCGTGCGCTTGGCAATGAGCGCAGACATGTCCGTGTACTGCTCGCACATGGTTCGCAGCGCAGCCAGCACGCCCGGGGACACAATGTTCCGCATAATCGCATCCCCCTGCTGTTGCTGCTGCTGCTGCTGACTGGCGAGCAGGCACGCGTCATCCCAGTGCTTGCCCTTCACATACAGCTCTGCCGCTGCTGTTGCGTCGTCGCCGTACACGTGCAGCACATGTGCGGCATCGTGGAAGCGGTGCACGCCCACAAGCGCCTCGCTCATGTCGACAGCCACCTTCTTCACCTCCTCCCGCGGCACCGCACGCAGTGACGTCAGACTAAACACCTGTCGCCAGTTGAGCGCGTGCACGTATGCCTTGAGCGCCACGTCGTACAGGCCCGCCCTCTCCAGAAGGATGCCGGCCTGGTTGTACTCGCGTTTAGCCAGCAGGTGCTGTCCATAGGCTCCCGCTACGGCGCGTACCTCGCTTGCGTCATGATCGCGGAAAATGCGCATGGCCTCCGGGTACAGCTCGTGCTCTTTCATCAGCGCCAAGCACTCTTCAAAGTGGGCGGGCCCTGCGTTGGAGAGGTGCTGGAGGGCCTTGTGGAAGCGCTTGAGGTGGAGGTCGATGCGATAGCGGCGCAGCACCTCGCTCTCCTGTCGAAGCGCATTCAGGAACGGCAGGTACTGCTTCGGGTCCTTCTGTGCAACCTACACAAATGTCGAGATGGAGTGTGTCAGTGTGTGTGTGTGTGTTTTACGTGTGTGTGTGTGTGTTACGTGTGTGTGTGTGTGTGTGTTGCGTGTGTGCGTGCGTGTGAGTGTCAGTGTGTGCGTGTGAATGGGTGTGTGCGTTGAGCATTGCAACGACAACAAAAGCATTAGTTCGACACGTAGCGCGACATATTGCAACAAACGCACCAACATACACATACAACACACACACACATACAGCACACACATACACATACACACACATACAGCACACACACGCACACGCACACGTATGCGTACCTGTGCCACCATGAGGGCAAATTCAAGGTTGTACGAGCCGAGGGCTTCGTTGTACAACACATCCACGTCCACAAGCAGCAGCATGTACTTGAGCGCCGCGCGTGCGCGGTCCTCGTTGGCAGAGGCGTGGCCCGTGCCTGCAGGCACCGGTGTGTTGTGGATGGCAAGCACGCGTTCCAGCGCGCGCTCAATACCGCCGGGCTGCACCTTGATGAACGTAGTAAGGATGGTGTCGAGCAGCCCGTCTTCGTTCACAGACACACACGCGTTGCGCAGGAG